TTCCAAGTGAGATTCAAACATGACATCAGGGAGTGCCAGAAGCACTCTTAAAATTACTATTATCACTAGTGACTAGGTTAGCAGAAGCTATATTAATACTATTGTACAGTTATAATGCATTTCAATCAGCCTTGTGTTTCTCCCACTCACCCACCCTCCACCAAGCTAGACATCTAGGAAGACACCCTTAATGATGGTGACCAACTTATTGGCCAACTAAGCCTCAAATCTTAATCAGTGCTGATTTTCCTTTCAGCAAACTTGAACCATCATTGGAAAATCAAACCAGACCCGGAGTTCTTCTTCCTCTACCAAACGGCACTTTTTATTTTCTTGTCCCTAATGCAGCGCCGAAATACCATTCCAACCCACTGCTCTTCTGAACATTTCACATCATTGACGAACAAAACGCCAACTCCACTCCCACAGGGCCTCCCAATGATCACGACACTCAATTTTCCACCCCCAGCATAGCCTCTAAATCTCAGCAGACTGATAAACCTAATATCAATGTTTAGCCCATCATTTTCAGAAGGCGGATGTCCGCTGACTGATACAAAATGATGTAATTGACAACAGCAGCATCCATCTCCAGTCTGTTATCAGAAACCCCTCGTTTTTGTAACATTTTGGGTGTTTTTTTTTATTTTGCCTTTCCTTACAATCTGCGGTTTGCCTGGTATTTTATCCCGTTGTCAGTCTTCATTAGAAATTCTCTCTTTCCTGCCTGTTTTGAAATCTGCACTGTCAAACTGTCGTTTGGGACTGAAGATGTATTAACATCAAACACATAGGAGCCAAGAAGTGAGTTGATCAAAGAAATGTCAATACAGTCAATCTGTTTGAATAAATAACTTCTAGGGGTCGCGAGGAGAAGCTTTTACCCTCTCTCCTTTGCATTGCATTCGCAACATTTCCTTTCAGAAGGTAAGGAAGTTTGATCCTTCAGTCACTTCTATTTACGGACATTTCTAGGCATTTATCTATTGAACTTCCTTTAACATCAGTGTGTAAGTGTATGTCTGCAATGCAATGGGTCTTGTAAAGGATTTGTAAATAATAAATCTGGCACTTTACTCCGATGCTCTTAAGACAGGCGGAAACCTGGGAAAAATTGGCCTCTGAAAGGGATTCCATAGAGGCCCACGGGTAGGATTTGCGGTTCACAAATTTCCGCCCACTTACAACCAGAATTCACCTTCATGTGAGCAGTGGGGATGTGTCCAAAGAATTGGGTGATGGAATAAATTAGCAAAGTTGGATCCTTCAACTTTGACCTGGGTGCAAATCCGTGGACGGATCCTGGCGGTTTGGGTATCTCAATTCAGGTCTCAGTATATATCTTACACTAATTAATTAATGTGATCTCAGTGAGACCTCCAGGATGGCCGGGGTAGGAAATAGTTTCACACTGGTCCAATGTGGCCGCTTGTTCAGAGTTTCGCCGCTCAGACATTTGTTAACTTAGGAACTTCATTCAGAAAAGCCATCGATTTGCCTTTGTAGGATATTAAATAACCAATGCTGGTGCGGTAGAGAGGGCACTGTTTAAGTTAGGAGTTTTTTTTAAAAAAAACTTTACCAACTGTTGGAGAGATCTCAATCTGGAAAGAATCTGACACCTTGCCACTGAGATGAGTACATTTAATAATAATAATAATAAAAATCCTTGCATTTGATATAGCGCTTTTCACATCGGGAGGACGTCCCAAAGCACTTCAGAGAACACACTGTAAAGTAAATTGACTGTATATTTGTGAGCGAACGCGGCAGCCAATTGCGCACAGCAATGTCCCACAAACAGTCGTGGATTGAAAATGACCAATTTATTATTGGTTTTATTTATTATTGGTTTTTGTTTTGGAGGATTATTATTAGTCTCTGTGTGGAGTAAGGAAACTTGCCCAAGGTTTCGCCCTCTGCCTGGAATTGAACTCAGGTCTCTCACGTGCAAAGCAAGTGCTCTAACCACTGAGCTACAGGACTCCACTTTACCGATCAAATTGTCCTTTCTTTCCTTTCTATCGGGAAAGATTAGAGAGAGCTATACTTTGTGTCTGATCTCGCTCAGGCTCTGCCTGATCTGGGAGTGCTGACTGTTGAGGCTGAATCTCAAAGGTACAGATGACATCTCTGACACCTTGAGGAGGACAGCAATTCATCTATGCTTCACTTTTCCCAACCCGAATGAATTGATTTAGATCAATTAACATTCTGTTGGCTGGAAGTTGACAGCTGTTAAAATTAACTGGGGGTTTCGGTGCAATTGGGTGTCTGGTAGCTTTGATCACCACAAGATCGATAAACATTGTTGCGTTGTTCTACAAAGCTTTCCTAGATTAACTCTAGCCAATTTTTTTTGGGTAGAAGGGAAGAGCGAGCGAGAGAAGTGTCGATTATCGCTTGTGTTGTGTTGCAAGCATTGCTTGATGCTGATTATAGCTTGATAATAGATAACAGTTTACTTTACAGTAAGACTGTATTAGTATCCAGGTAAGAACAACGGAGTTCTTGAAGTTTAAGGAAATATTAGAAGCCTTTTATGGTCTTACACTTTATGATTGTGCATCAGTTTGGAAAAAAATCCAAATTAGGGTCTAAAATTGAAAGCCGGTTCTTTTTACGACCCATGTAAAATTGGCTTCCAAACTGGAACTGCAATTAAGATTTATTTGGTTGCAAAACTCTGCATGATCTTGCATTTTAAAGCCAATGGCCTCAGGGCTAAGACCCTGAGAAATTCGGAGCCTGAGATGCCCTCTTTACCTTCAAATTTCTTGAATGAATGCTGTGGTCAAATCTAGTTCAAGAACCTTTAATATAATTGGACCGCAGAAAAGTGTATTTGGGTAGAATCTCAAAGAGGCCTCTGGTACATTGATGGTTTAAAAATATTGATCCTTTCGTTGTATGTTTATAAGAAGAACACTTGCTATAAGCATAGCAAGTTATTATATCAAACCGTTTCACAGCAAGTTATCTTGAAACGCAGTGCATGCTTTGCTGGTTCAAAATTAGCCCAAGTAAAATCCATAAAGTTTTCTTTTTATCGGTAACACTGTGCATGGCCTAATCTTTGGCTTTAACAGAAAAATACCCAGCTCATTGTTTTTTAAAAAAAATCTATGTTATGTGGATTTTTTTTCCTTTGCACACGGATAAGGCTGTCTGTCTTTCAATCTCATCAGTCTTTTCTGATCATTATCTGTTGTAAAGGAAATATAAAACCAGACTTTCTGAATAAGAGGATTTTAAGAAAAACGTTAAGAGGTCAAATTTAGTTTAGTTCAGAATTACTGTGCTGAGAGTGGATAGATGAACGACAGCTTAAATGTCAAACATCTATTGTATGACATTTAAGCTTCTACTCTTCAATTGACTTTTGACTCTTTGTCTGAGACGCCTTCTATTTTTAAGACCTTTTGCAACAGATTGGGTATCCATTGAAAATGTCTGAAAAGTGCTCGAGTGTTGACAGTGTTTGGAGGTCATCAAGCACCCAAATCCATTACGGCTTCCTTTAAGGAAGGAATAGTATGGACTCATTATTGGAGCCAAAAGTGCAGAAGGAGATATTTTGGATGTAAAAGCAAGGCAACGTCAAGCTGTGCATAACAGTGTCTGCTAACCGCATTCGGCAACGAGTTCAGCGCTGTGGTTTATCTCAAGCTAAGGTTGGCATATTTAAATTGAACACACAGATAACCCTTCACAGATTGTATGTGAGGCTTATTCTCGTGTCCTGAGTTCCTTTTATATCGCAGTCGTGTCTGAGCAGATGGCCGCTTCACTTTCCTTTTTTTTTGTTTTTTTCAGTCCTAAAGGTTTTTTTTATATTAAAAAAAACAATTGGCAGGGTGAGAAGAACTGCTTTTTTTAAAAAAAAATGTAATAATAGCAACAGAATTGCTATCGAGGCTGAGATCATAAGACTTGTGAAGGAACTGGATAACTCTTTGAAAGGGGGAAGAATTTTTAAAAGTACTGGGGAAGATCTGGCAATTGGGTTTATTGAAGCTGTATCCAACAGGTGAACTGGCTACGGTCTTTGGCTTGAAAACACTGCGATTTCTATGATTCTACAATCAGCAAAGTCAATCACAACAACTTGTATAAACGGCTTCCACAGTACAAGTTTGCTTACCACAATAGCTCTATACAGTATAGCATCAGATCACATCTCTGACCAAACAAGAGAGCGGAGGAGGAGATTGCGGGCACGGAGGGGGAGTTTTTAACATGTATGGAATAAAAGCGACATAAAACACAAGTTCCATTCTTGAGATGGAATAAAATCTGTTTGCACCATTCGAATCTTAAACTCTATTTCGTACACCAAAATTATTTTTAAATCCTCCCCTGAAAAAGCAATCTTATGTAACGCCAACTGGCTCCAAAATCAAATTCCAGGATAACCAGTCAACAATAGCAACAACAACAACTTGCATTTACCTAACACCCTTCACACAGGGTAGCGTATCGGAGCGCTTAAATGAACAGTTACTTCAGAGTCCGCACTGGGGACTGCAACTCTTTCAGCTCTCGATACCTTCAAACGCAGATACTTTTCAAATTACATTGCCACAACCGTGTCATGACGCAATCAAGACTGGAACAACAAATTGCATTTATACAGCGCCTTTCACGTCGGGAGAACGTCCCAAGGCGCTGGGACAGTGAAGGGTTTGCATCCGAGCTGGGGGGGTGGGGGGTTGGAGTCGAGAAGGAGTGGAGGGCAATGGAGGTGGGAGGGTGAGAGAAGCCACGATCAAAGAGGAAGTTCTTGTGACAGGCCTTGAAGGAGGCAAAGGGAGGGGGCGAGGCTGCTAACTACTTCTTGTATGCTGCCAATGTGGTGGGGCGAGGTTTACCGACAAACTTTCCCCATCCCCCCCCACCTCCCAAAAAAGTTCCAAGGTTTCAACAAAAGGGAATATCTGCAACCGCTAGCGTTACGTAACTCAGTGACGTGAAGGATAGCTTTCAGAGCGCCCGCTCACCTCTGTCTGTGTCGTACAGGTAGACAAATTTCTTCCACTTGTAGTGGCTGAGCAGGCCCAAGAGGGCTCCGTGCAGGGGGGGTCTCAGCTGAATAACGAACTGGATCTCCCCCTCGGTGGGAAAGCTCGGCGTGATGAAAGACGTGTGCAGAGCGCCGCAGAAGGAAGTCAGCGTGTTCACAGATCTCTTATCGTAGAAGCCGAAAATGGCGTAAACTCCTTTGGAATATTGCGAACAGACTGGAACCGAAAAAAACAAATGGAAGGGTGGTTAGCATTCGGCCAAACGTATTGATTTGCAAACCTTTATATGCACAAGGAATGTTCTCCGCAACATTGCTACTGAAGGAACTCTTTATGCTAGTTGCATTTTCTTGAAGCATTTTATTAAAGCATTTCGCCCACAAAATACACAATCAATTCACTTCGCGGCAGAGTCTGTGAAGCGCTTTGAGACGTCTCAATGGTGCTATATCAAATGCAAGGATTATTTATTATTTCAATAAACAGTTGCCAGCGGAATACAGTGTTCAGCAGTGAAGAGCGAAAAATTTGGAAAATTCTTAAATACCACCTTAAGTTTGAAGCTGGTTTTCCATAAGTTTGACCTCACTGGAATTTCATTCCAACTGGTTTTAAGATTAAAAACCCTGTGAAATTTCAGCCGTCAGATGTTCTGTTGAATAGCTACTTAATATATGTATAAAGAGTGAGAGAGAGTGTGTGTGTGGTTATATATTCAGATAATTCATATCTTAAATTGCCAACACTAAACGGGAAACATTTTATGTAAAAATAATCTTGTATTTGGTATAGCTCCTTATCGCATCGTTGCAATGTCTCGAAGCACTTCACAGGATTTTCCCATAAAACTTTGTGACTATTTGTTTGTGGAAGACGACACCGTAATAATAACAGTATTTGAAGCATGACTGTCTCAACATTTTACACAAACAGCAGGACGACACTCGTTTGGATCCTTATAAAAGCTGTTTTGTTTTCTATGTGGTACATACTTTTCCTCTTCACTCTATTCACCTGTGTATAGCTGCATACAGAAGAGCGCAGTGATCATAGTTACACAATCACAGCTTCTTCCTATAAATGTTTAATGAAGAAACCCAAGGCAAATGAGAAGGAACATCACGGTGAGCTAAATACAAGTAGTAACACAAACATGAAATGAACAGTAGGGGGGAAACGGTACTGCATTAAACTGTTACGAACAAAACAAAAGCCTTAATAAGTTTCAGAGTGGGTGCAATGGCGTGGAAAGGGACACTGTTGAAAGTGTCCGAGCAATTCGAACATGCGCAAGTGCAGTGAAGGGCATTTAAAATAAAATGTCCAAATAAAATTGCTTTCCTATCGCGAGATTTTTCAGCTTGTGACCTTTGTCGGGCCCAAATCACCGAATGTCCAGCTTCTTGGGACGTCCTCCCGGCGTTAAAGGCGCTAAATAAATGTAATTTGTTGTGGTTGTTGCCTAAAAATCATGCAGATTGAGCATTCGGTTTAAGGAAGGAATGCAAATCCGTGCTTTCCTGCAGTTTCACAGGATTTTCACAGCTTGAAGGAGTCAGGGTAGGCATAATAGGCCATTTGGCCTTTTTTCCTTGGTTCCTGTGTAAAGACTGAACGTGGCTTGAATTATTGATGGATGGACCAAATAATGCTCACCTGCTTCCGAGCTTTTGCCAACGTTCTGGGCTGAAAATTACGAGGTGTGCTGATTATCATCGTCGATAATTAACGCACCCTGCAACGCAATTTTCAATCGCGTTATCTCTGTTGGAAAAGTCGCTTAATATCAAAGTGACATTATAGAGCAGGATTCGCCGCATTCTGCAACAGAATCGCGCCTTGGGACGTCCTCCCGATGTGAAAGGCGCTCTGTAAATGTGATTTTGTTGTTGTTTTTGTTGTTTCCGCCAACAATTCAAATAACCACGGTTATTCCCAATCCATGTACCTTAGACTGCTTCTGCAAATTGCAGGAACAAGTTTTTCTTTCATGTTTATGCTTAGCGACACTCCTTCTGACATTCTTCTGTACAAAGGATGAGCATCTAAAAGTTTAATTTAGGATTGCCTCGTTTGGTTACAGATGGAAGCCCAAATGCCTCTCTGCGGCTTGTCATCGCTTCATTGCTGATGTAACATGCTCCATCCTTTTTGTTGCCTTGAAATAGGAATAAGATGTGCGTAACATCAAATCTTGCGTGCGGGGGGGTTGAATGATATAAATCGAATTTTTTTTAAAGTGTTCAACGACATCGCAACTTTGATATAAAGACTTATGTGGATTTAGAACTAGAAGGAGTGAGTTTCATGGGTCAAGTGATGCTAAATATGTTTCAAATAAATTCCCATTTTTTTTCTTCATCAGATATATCTAAAGAGGAATGAACTGCAAGAGTATTGCGGGAAGGGAACGGTAGATAAATGGGATTGAACAGATTTCTCTTGCAAACAACAACTTGCATTTATATTAGCAGTTCTAATGCAGGGCAGCAAACCAGAGCTCTTGAATCGTGCATTTTCTTTGACGGCATCAGATGATATTTAAGGATGTCACTGGCAACTGAAAAATAACTTCTCAACTCAGTGCATAACATGACCAGACAACATAAGGTGCTGTATCAAATGCAAGAATTATTATTATTATTTACCAAACGTCAGTAAGGCCGAATTCTATTGGTGTCACCGAGGCTATTTGTCATTGAAATTCCTTCGCATCTCCAGCAACATCCAAACTCATTCATTTTTTCTTTCGGGGAAACGAAGCTTCTCAATGCACTGCAACCCACCCGCCAACGCGTCCGATTCATAAAATATCACCCAAACCATTAAATATGTAACCAAGAGCATTATTTATATGCTCTGTACTCTCAAACACGGATTCAGATTTTCAATTAGTCATGCTTGACTTCTGTCGGTATAATGTAATTATAGCTCGTAACGCACGAGTGGGTCCCAGAATGTGCATTTTCAAGCAGGATCCAGAATTTGAGCATATTCCAGCGATATTAATAAACCTCGCATTTGATATAGCGCCTTATCACGTCGTTGAGACGATTCAAAGCACTTTGCAGAATACGTCTTAAAGGGGATTGATGGCGTTTTTGGGGGTGAAACTCGGCGGCCAATTGCGCGTTTTGTATTTCATTAGATTTTTGTTAGGTCGGGGTATCGAGGGATATGAGGCAAAGGTGGGTAAATGGAGTTGAGGTGCAAATCAGTCACGATCTAATAGAATGATGGAACACACTCAAGGGGCTAAATGGCCTACTTCTGTTCCTAATACCTGCTGTAGATTGCAGCTGAATGCAAATCATCCAGCCTTTTCCCACTGCCTTGCTCTGTTTCCGTTCTGAATGGGCTCCTATTCTTTGCAAAGGTCTGTTGAGACATGGCTACTCTGTCCTCCCCAATCCTAATCCAGCGCCCTTCATGCTTAGTTGCTCACAGAGGGATTGCAATGTAGAGTTTTGACGGCAAATTGCAATTCACAGAATCGAAACCCAGTGAAACACACTTTACATCAAGCAAAGAGATCAATTTCTGCTGATTATGCATTCTGTGCGCAAAACTATATCCAGCGAGTTCCGAGTAAAAGCATCGTGCTTGACATCAATTATTTTATTGCAGCAAAAATACCCGAGGTAGCCTGTCAGGATCAAAGCCCGCAGTGGATCAATTTGCTTTGAATTAGTTTTTTATTACATGCATAAGATTATGGGAAGGAGCGAGGAGGTAGGGAGAGAGAGAAAGACTACTTTATGTTAGAGCTAAATGGTTTTGTAACTCAGGTGGTGTCCCTAACAGTACTCATTTTTTGACTGTGTGTTCATTTATTTGGCTCTTAGAAATCTTACCTGTACAAACTGAGATTATGGATAAAACTGCATTAGTTGCGATTAGAATAGAATAACATTCTTTTTTTAAAGGAAACCCCAAGCAACCATTGAAGTGACAGCACAGAAGCGAGCCATATGGCTGATCAAGCTTATCATAGTGCAAGCTCCTCCATTGGAGTCCTATCCTAATTCCTTGCCCTTTCACTGTGTCTTTTATGCTCGATGCTGGAATACTTGATGCCGACACTGAGCGCCCAGAGGAGAAATGGGGTCCATTTTTAAACATAATAATATAATTGATATAAGGTAACAATTAATATTGCATCTATAACATCGAAGTCGCTTCACGAGTAATTGCTGTCAAGGGTAGCGACTGTATAGGTTTAAGGAGACATGGCAGCCATTTGTACCAGCCCCAAAGTGAATGACCAATGTATTTGGAGGATTGTTGGTCAGGACAAAGGGAGACATTCCCTTCTGTTTGAGTAGTGCAGTAGGATCTTCAACATCCACCCGAACTGGCAGATGGGGCCTTGGTTTAGTGTCTCACAATCCCCCAAAGTGTCTTTTTAAGAGGTTCTTGGACCCGAGGATGAACCTTTTACCAAACAATGGCCAACGCAGGAAAGGTAACGGTCAAAACACAACACAAAGAGCTGGTCTCTCTGCGGTCAAAACACAACACAAAGAGCGGGTCTCTCTGCGGTCAAAACACAACACAAAGAGCTGGTCTCTCTGCGGTCAAAACACAACACAAAGAGCGGGTCTCTCTGCCTGAGACTGGCTAGAAGAGGAATCACTTTATTTTATTCACTTCCTATTGGTTTTCAGACGATACACTACTTCCTTTTCATCAATATATCACTTGTGCCACTTTCCCTGCAGATGACTGAAGGCTAGCTAGCTGTTAGGCAAGATTGCTTATGTCAGATCTTTATTCCCTCAGATTGAAACATTCTTCTCCATTATATTTCCAATCCGAATGAATGTCGCCTGTGTTTCACTAGCAGGCCATTATTTAAAGACATTTCCGTGATATAGAGATCTATAATAGCAGGAACAAATTCCCATAAACAAAGTTAAACTTGAAATCAATTGTGGAATAACCCCCCAAAAAATTTAACATGCTCCTTTCTGCCTCTTGCCGGCAGGAAATGTGAGTGAATTGGATTTCAGAATCTCTCTCGCACAAATTCTTTGCAGTGGAGAATTAACCTGTCAGAATTACCCAGAGATGTGAAATAGCCTCGAGGTCTGAAGTGTTTACTGCAGCAATCCAAGAAGCTTGCACCAAACTTACTTCAGTTTTTTTACACACACATATATATATATGACTGCAATGACCTTGTACTGTAGTTTAACCCTGTGCTCTACCGAGCTGGGTAGGTAATGCCACTTGCCAAACCCTCTGTGTACGATTCCTAGGAAAGGAAAGACAGAACGTCTAATTTTGATACTGCTTTTGCAGATCAAAATATCTCAAAGAACCACACAAGCAATTTACACTGTTTCTACAAACGCACTTCCTAATTGTGCCAGCAAGGTCACACAAACAGCCATTGATTGTGTGAATGTCCAATTAGTCTGCAGGATTGGTAGTCAAGGCTTTGGGATGGGGGGGTAAAGCCTTCTCTTTTGTTGCTGCTGTTCCCCAAATTGTAACTGTGCTGTTCGGCATTTACAGGATTTGTAAAATAAATAGTGGGAGTAAAATTACTCAGTTTGGATAAGAAAGAAGGAGGATAGTAGGAGGTGCAAACACAACGCAGATAAAATATGTGCTTTGTTACTGCATAATATTTTTGAATTAATTATCCTTCCTATGTAACGCGCCATCGATAATGTTATTGGCTCTTTAAGGAATGGAATTATAACTTGGTTCCAATTTGGATGCAGGACAACATTGCCAGAAATACGCTTGTGTCAGGATTATAGGTACAACGGAAACTGGCGATTACCAGCCTCCTGTGGTAATGACGTGTGTGGAAGCTTCTGAACCAGCCGAAGGCCTCCAGTCACGATGAGATGAGCCTTTTATCTGAGTGGAGAGTAAGTGTTCTGCCAAACCTGTGCGTTTAGTTCACGTTAATGGAATTCGACCAACCTGCAAATGGAACAACTATCCAAGAAACTTGGAGAAAGGGGATACAAATGGATGGTAAAACCATGGAAAAATAACCCACCTTAGCTTTTGATTTCAGTCTACAAACCATAG